AGTCAGCTAGATGATAGTGTTGGAAGTTCCTCTATAGCATCCTAGCCTTTTGAATCATCTAGTACAAGGGAACAGGCACCTTTGCTCATATAGGCACCTCGTTCCATTACAAACCATGCTATCAGATTAGGTAAAGATGATCCTCTTTAGATTAAAGACTAAGGGGTATCTAATCATACGACTAGTTAATCCTCTTTATTTTTGACATATCAATTGTGTTTTGGTAGAGATAGGGTTTCTATTGTTGATGGTTCTCTTGCCTCTTTATTTGACAAAGGAAATTTAGAGTTCTATTGCATTGTCTTCTGTTCTTCATGTTCTCAAGTACTAACTTTAGAGTTTTTGATTTCTATTAGTTGTGATGGGTGCAGAAAGGCATTCATAGTCTGGAAACCTTTTTTACATTAACCAAGTTTTATTGCAAAAGTTTGCATCCATTTTTTGAATGCAGACTTTACACTCATTTTGAATGCAAATATGTCTTAGAATTCAAGATTGTTGTCACTTTCAATACACAAGTGCATTCTTATCACACACCTGCAAAACAGAACCAGGGTGCACAAATGCATTTGATCTGGCATTTGCACTCTACCCAAACGGAGCCAAGGTGCAAATGGGCTGAGTAGAGATTCTGGTTACTTTTGCTTTAGGTTTGATTTTGTTTTGTTTGTTTGCAAGGCTCCAGTTTGGAAAGAGTACAAATACAAATATGTATAGTACAAATACATACAAAATAATACAGAATACAAGGTTTTACACTCTACATAATTGTATTTGTACTCCTTCCAAACTGAGAAGGAGTACAAATACAAATATGTATAGTACAAATACGTGGCTTTTTCTTGTACACTTATATTCCCTTTATTTGTGTCTCAACAATTTTTGCCCTTTCTTGATATATTTAATAAAAAGTTTATCTTATTTTAGAAATTACATTAAAAAGTTAATTTTTATTGATATTAGGGCCCAAAAGTTGCCCTTATCAGTTACAATCCCTTTTTAATTTGAAGGTGTAGAAGTAGAAGTGAAATGATGCGGTCCCCACTTTATATAAAAGTGAAGGAAAGCAGAAGAAAGGCTGTTTGTTTGAAGGAGTTAAATGATGCAGTCCCCACTTTATATGAAATTGAAGGAAAACAGAAGAAAGGCTGCTTGTTTGAAGGAGTAAAATGATGCAGTCCCAACCTTATATAAGAGGAAATTAAGGTAGAAGAAGGTTATGTAACTCTGCATCAGGTGAGAATGCAAATAATAGTTACAAACCAACATATGCAAATATGAATCGGCTCAGATTTGCACCGCAAAGTGCAAACAAATAGAGCTAGCATTGCTAATGAGCATATATTCAAGGTGTTTTGCATGCAATAAGCAAATTTTTAACAAATTTTCTAAAATCTCTTTTGGGTAGGGAAGAACGCCTTGCATAACATCCAATACAGAAACAAAAGCACATAAGTATTCGAGGAAACAGTAGAAGCAGAAAAGACCTTCAATACGTACTCAGCTACTGAGCATGGACTCGTGCTATACCCCGAAACTAAACACTACAATCCAACATTTTCAGAGAAAAAGAACAATACTCTGTGTCCAGCCATAAACTTAGAAATAAATCAACATAAGTACATAATTCAATGAATTCTTGAGCATAAAACCAAAACTAATAGTACCCACATAMWCTGTCGAGAATAAACAAAAAGGCACTCACCAAGAACACAACTTTCCCCTTGCTAATTTCAGTCGCTTCGGGATGGCGCTGAAATGGCAATGGCTCGACGACCCCAGTTTCTTGCTTACCCGAACAAGACAATCTATCCTCACGCCTACTACCCTCTGGAGTCATCACCCCAATTTCCCGGCTACCTGGAAAAGACAGCCTCTCCTCAAACCTACTGCCTCTCAGATGATGTATAAATGAAACCCTTGGCTCGGACAGCACAGAAAAAAACCCTTCCGCCCTACGTAGCGCCGCCAACTCCCTCTCCATTTGCAATTCTCTCCTGACCTCTGCTTCAAGAACCCGCCTCCGCTCCAATTCTGCGGAGAGAATCTCCTCTCTAATCCTATCCTTCTCGATCTCTCGCTGAATCGATTCTTGTACGTCAACCGAATTCCTCACGAAACCATTACCTCTGATATCGCCGCTTATGTACCCGGCTGAAGAGAAAGGAAGAGAGAGGATCAAGAGGAGTAGAGCTTCGAAACAAGAACCAAAATCATCATGAAGAAAGAGGGAGAGGGTTTGCTTGAACGTACCACGCAATGCTTGTTCGGTGAAGTAGCTACTAGTAGTTGCAGAAGAAAAGAACGTCGAAGGCGCGCCGTCGTATCGTCGAAACCGGAAATCCATGGGGAATGCAGAGCACCGGAGGTACTGACTTGTGAACTGATTAGGGTTTAAGGAATGGAGATTTGGGCTTTTGGGGAGAGAAGGAAACCCTGACGCTCAGAGGTTGGGAGTTGAAAGAAAAGAAAACGGCCGATCGGTTGAAACTTGAAAGGGGAAGAAGGTGTACGACAATCTCCGCATGGTCGTCCACTCGTCGACTCGTCGTTGAAAGGCAATAGGGTTCGCATATGCCCCCCCACATACTTGCCCCCCAAAAACGTCCAACAAAACTGGAACGCGACGCGTGTGTGACACACGCGCATTAAGCGAGACGCGTGCGAAATTCATTTCACGCCGTGAAATGTTCCTCCGTGACCCGCTCCCTTCGTGACCCCTTCATGACCCGCTCACCAGATATTAATCCGGTCGAGTTCTGCCGGCCGATGCCAACGGTCATACCGGCAGGAGGTAAATACTCTCTAAGTTTTTCTCATTTTTTATATATTGTTTTTTCTCATTCGTTTTCTAACATTCACAAATCTGAACCCGCTGGAGTGGGAGCCCCCTGATGACGTTTCAAATCCTTGACACCCCTGAAATTGGAAAGCCCCGCAAAATTCCAAACTCTCTAGTCATAAGCAATTAAAATTCATAATGGTAAACAATTAAAATTCATAATGGTAAATAGTAGTTTGGAAGGAAACATAACTGCCATGATAGGAACTATTGGTGTGTTTCAACACTTTGATTGTAAGAGGATATGGCTGACAATTTGTGTTGATGCATCATGGAGCAATCTGCGTTAGATGACGTTCGGGAGCAGGATTATAAAGAGAGAAGCCAAAGGTCTGAGTTCTTTCAGCAGTCGGTCCTATCAACCATTTTCTAAAATCCTCTCCAACTTGAGTGGGTTATCATAAAAAGTACCAAAGAGAGACGGAATATTGACAAAGAACCTTTAATATTTCATGAGAGAATACATGACAATCATTACAAAGGGAATTATGATCAAATTCATTTGTCGCAACTGATCTCTCAGCTTCAGCAGCATCCTCTTCTTTTGCTCCTTCCGCTGCCTCTGCTCCACCACTGGATCAGAAGCTGGTACTGGTGGTGCAGCAGCAACAATATAATCTTGTCTTCTTTTCTTTCTCTTGTAGATGAAGTCATCGTTGTTGCACAGCTCCCACTCCTCCTCCCAGGCTGTTCTAGCCATAGCCAAGTGCCTCAAGTCAAAACTCAAATTCCGGAGAGTTTGGAATTTTGGAGGGCTTTCGAATTTCARGGGTGTCAAGGGTTTGAAACGGCGTCAAGGGGCTCCCACTCCGACGGGTTCAGATCTGTGAATGTTAGAAAACGAATGAGAAAAAACAAAATATATATATATATATATATATAAAAGAAATGAGAAAAACTTATAGAGTACTTACCTCCTATCAGTATGGCCATCAGCGTTGGCCAACGAAACTCGACCGAGTTAATCTCCGGTGAGTGGGTTATGAAAGGGGGCCGACACTAAGAGTTTCAGTTCGAAGTAGAATGGAGGAGTATGGGAGAAGAAACGCTTTTGGGCAAGAGAGGAATTAACGAAGGTGCATTTCACGGCGTGAAATGGGTTTCGCACACGTTTCACTTAATGCGCGTGTGTAATGACACACATTGCATTCCAATTTTGTTGGACGTTTTTGGGGGGCAAATATGTGGGGGCAGATGCAAACCCGTCACAAGACACCAAGGAGTTTTGTAGTGCGTGCAAATGTGTTTGTGGGACCGATAAAAGGGCTTTGATTTAACCATTGGATTGGAACCTTTATTTGATGTCTAAAGTTAATGGTCAGTGATGAAGGGTTTTTTGGGTAGCACCCTGTTTTTCGAACTACTTCCAGGTGGCCGATGACTTAGAGGCCAAAGTGGAGGATTTTTGCTAGATGAGGACTTGGATGCCAAGTTGGACAGGTCGAATTGGGGGTAGATTGAGTGCCGAGCTAGGTTGATTGCTGAGCTAAGTAGCTCTTCAGAGAAACTTGCAAGGAATCAATGTTAGAGGACTCGGGGTGGCTAACCCGGCGAGGTCGCTCCGATGATTAAGTTGGTACTCTCGTAATAGATTACGAGCTAAAAAATCATAAAGTATGAGAGCTGGAATGTGCTTACTCGCCTCTCTCTTGTATCATTGGGGTTGGTGCCTTTATATAGGCATTGTTTGGTTTGGGCCTCACGCACCGCATCCGAGATTTCTGAGATGTCGTGCCTAATCAGTTTGAGATCCTCAGAGGTAACCGCCATGCACGTTGACCATCCTCCAAAACATTCGATACGTGGGCCAACTTCTGAGAAACCTGGGAGTGTCGGGATATGCATGCCGAATTTGTCGGTGAGCACATCTCGTAAGTCATAGCCTAGTCCCTAGTCAAGTCGGCAAGCCCTCGAGGGATGTCGCTCCTCATGTCGATGTCACTTTGGCCAGTGACGAGGTGCTATAGGCTAACCCTGGACGAGATGCTGCAAGCCGACCTAAGTTGTGGTCGAGTTCACTAGGTCGGCGTAAAGATAGGTTGTCAAGTTGATGGTGAAGGCAGGTTGCCAGGTCGGGGTAAAGACGAGCCCAATCTGGGACTCCAAATCATCACTTAGGTGGTGTCTAGGTATCATCTAGCTATTCTAAGATGTCATGTATCACAGTGTCATTGGAGGGCCAAATCTACCCTCATCTGTCAAGATGAACGTATTAATACCGATTGAGCGTGGCTCACCCGAAAATCACACCAACCTCTTCGAGACTTGATTCATGGGAACATATTTGATGCGATGTGCTGTAAGGATCAAATCCGATTTCCTGCACTGCAATGTCAAGTTTACCACATCCACCATGTAAGCAACTTAGCAAATTCAGGGGCGGTTGAATTATTTAAGCTAGATTACTTATTTGATTTCAGATATTAAATCAGTTTTTATTTGTAAATATTTATATTTTCATATTACTTTTTTTTGGTTTGTTTTGATAAAAACTAAAAAGTGAATTAGAAAGGCTGATCATTATTAATACGGGTTTGATGTGAATACATTTTGAGAGTGAAGGGTACTACTACACCTCCAAAATCACTCTACAACTTGTTTTTCTTCAAAAATGGGTAAACAGTACAGGTAATCATTCTTGGCCTAGCCTAGATCTAGCCCAACCCAAAATATATATTTTATATATTGTAAAATATTATGTTATGTATTATGTATAATAAATTACATATATTTAATATTTTATAGACGTACATATATATTTTACTTTATTTTATATAAAATTTTAATATATACTATACATATTAGCGACGACCCGTGCTATGCATGGGATGCTGTATTCTACTTTTTTATGCATAAAATAGTAGAAAAAATTATTTTTTTTAAGTTATTTGTTTTCAAATTTTCCTTTTATATATATTATGAAAAGCACATAAACCAACTAATGGTGGYCCAGTTAATACCTTTTCTAGTTAGTTGTATCAAAGGCCTGGGTTGGGGGCAAGGGATTACCTCCCATTGTGTAGCCCTATAAAGCAAAAAAAAAAAAGTGTTTAGCATGAAATTAACAACTAAGTTAAGAAAACAATTTCAAAATTGAACTAATGAAGATAACCAAAAACTCGCATTAAGTTCTTTATTACTACATTTTATTATTGAATTAGAACGATCCGTTAAATAATTCTACATTAAATTAAATTGATAAAAACAAAGGGAAAATGTGAGCACAAAGAAATAAGCAAAAAAGAGGGAACACAATGTGGATTTTATGAGAGACAATAAAGACCCATGAAGTTTTTAATAATTTAATATAAAAATAAATATGTGCACATGTATGAGAAAGGAGAGGAGGAGGAGGTACATATGAATTCTATGGTGAGAGGACCCTCACCTCCTTTCCTCTTTCTATTATATATAAAGATATATAGATTCATTAGTTTACACATGAGTCAACTCACGTAGGAGAGAATAACTTGCTCTCTAGAATTATCCATCCTTATATAGATGAAGAGAAGACTTTTAATTCACTAGTGTTTATATTTCAAGTCATATTGCTTAGGAATTTGAATCAAGCCAATCATCATTATAAGGATGAATAATATATCAATGTTCATGCCTTAACTTTTGTGAGAATTAAATGATTAAAACTGAAAATTTTGGTTTTTTTTTTTATCTTGTTATTTAAATTTTAGGAAATTTCAGTTTAGCTAATTCGGTTTTTAGGTATTTTGGTTTATTGGTTTTGGGTTTAAGTATAAAAAATTCAATTAACCAAAAAAAAAAAAAAAACTTCACTGAATTCAATTAGCCAAAAAAAAAACAAAACAAAACAAAACAAAAAAGTGAACCAAAAACTTTGGTTTTTCCTTAATTTGGTCTTGATTCGGTTCTTCCTCTTAAAATTTTGGCTTATTCAATTTGATTTTCAAATACCATTGACACCCTTAATCTTGTGGGTAGGCATGTAGAAACAGTTTATGGGTAAGAGATCCGGAGTGCTCAAAGAAGGGCTTTGTCCCTTCATGTGGTCTTGAAAATATCACCACCATCCAAGCTTTATCTCAACAAGGGCTGAAGGGCATCAATCAGCCATGCTGGATTAGTTGTTGATTAAGGAACCGGATATTTAGGGACAAACCTTAGGAAAACGGGAGGAAATTTACGGATTGGAAGCAAGCTGGAGTGATGGGGTTGCAAGTTGGACAACTCATACATGATCTACATGTGTAGTGGGTAGGTTTATCATCTAGAAATTGTTGTACTCACACGTACAAACAGACAACAGACAGATAAAAATTAATTGGTGTTTGAAATGACATTTCGATTTGGCTAATAGTTGTTGGCTCAACGAATTCTAAAGTGCAGTTACACATACTTCCCATCATTTACTAGAACCTATGATATGGTGGAAATATGGAATCATAATCAAACCCTACAAACAAACAAAACTAAACCGTGTATGAAGCAAAAGTAAACCAAGATTTTCACTCGGCCCATTTGCACTCCTATTCGTTTACACCAGTGTAAAGCAGATGAATACTCCTTACAGTCCACACTCTTATTGTCTGTCATCATACTAAACATAGCCTTCGGAGAAGATCTACAAGTAGGAAATTTGTTCACTGATAATGGAACTGGACAGTTAGAAACATCTGTACACTTTATTCGAACAAACTAACGGTAGTTAGCCAGGTCAAATCCACAGATATCCACAAGACCAAACCTACATCTTCAAGGAAAACTAATCTATGGGTTTCATGCTAAATCATTACATTTACAGATACTATATGAGAATGCAAGTTGTTTTGAGTATGAAATCTGAAATGAGAATCGCCATATCCACAAGATCACCAGTGTACAGATAATATAGTCCACCCACTTCATGCATGGAATGACCATAACTACTGCTTTGATTCAGTCTCTTCTGATTTTGGATCAACACCTGCTAGCTCAGATGGTGATGAACTCTCCGTAGATGCTTTGGATTCACCAGGTTTGTTGAACTGCACCAATATCATGGTCATGTTGTCACATCCCTCGCCACCAGCAGTTGATGGCGCCAAACATCTGTCAAGTACTCTTTCGCATACGGTTGAAAGCTTGCTTTCCTGCATTATTTATTATGGTTAATGTCAAGAATGATAAGCATATTAGACCACCCCTTGCATGTACCTCTACTACAAATTAAGTCAGGTTGTTGAATAATACCGTTGAAAGCTTGCTTTCCTGCATTATTTATTATGGTTAATGTCAAGAATGATAAGCATCATGGTTTTCAAAACTGGGAACCAGTCAGGTGATCGGTTCCATTTTTCCCCAAAACCGGATTTTCTCCAAAAACCATTGATTTTGGTCAGCAAACCGCTGACTCTGGCGGTTAACCGTTCAAACCATTCAAACGGTTTTGACCATTTTTTATTTTTTTGTCAAAACGGGCTGACCGTTCAGTTCGAACAGTCGGACCGTTCGACCCGGGAACCGGACCCCTGACCGGTTCATTCTCCAGGTCCGTTTTAGAAACCTTGATAAGCATATTAGACCACCCCTTGCATGTACCTCTACTACAAATCAAGTCAGGTTGTTAAATAAGAAGATCATCTAGATCAATGGTCCTCACTATGCAAATTCATGGTCTTTTATGTGAAACAACGACTCCAGCACGTCAACATCCAAAACTAATACTAGTTGGCTGACTACAACATCAGGAAATTCAAGATACAGAAAAAACCATATGGTTTACACATATTATAAGATAGTTCCTAACAAAGTTTAGTTCATAATAAAAAGCAAACAGGAAGAGCTTGATTTGCATGAAAATTTCTAGAAATCAAATGTAAGTAAAACATTAAAACTAGAGATGGTAATTTTAAAGTTTCTCTAAACTAAAAGTCCCAGCATGCAAGAAACACCCAAATTCAACAAGATGTCCAATAAAACCAGTTTTAAGAAAATGGAATGTTCTTTGCCACATATAGGGATTATTCTCAGAAGTAAACTTCTTTTTACAACAATGATCAMTGCAAAGGAAGGAGTTTGTATAGATAGCATAATTATTAACTTAGTTGTCAACTTTGAAGGGCTAGTCAACTTACAGAGTTTAACTGTTCATGAACAAAATCTACGAGTTGCTGGCTTGACATGCAATCCCTGGAAATAGGAACACCAACAATAATCAGATATTTGAAAAACAAGATCCACGTACCAAGGTGTTTAACCGAATTATTAAGTGCATAATTAAGTAGTTCTTAATAATAATAAAAAAAAACAGGTGAACACCAAAAGAAGAAAACAAGAGACATAATCAATTTTGTTCTTCTAGTGCTTGTGCTCTATGAACTGTGACTTCTGCATTCTGATTCTTAAGGATGGGCTGTAGAGATAGAGAGCCTTTCAAGTGGATAAAGATCGAACCCCATGATTTGTGGAAGTGTAAAGCCCCTCCAGTGAAAGAGGTCTTCTGTGTTGAAAGAGAACAGAACCTTGGAACTCAGAAGCCTTCCTTTTTCTTACATGAATGTTCTTCTATTCTCAATTCTGTTGCTTGTCAAAGAATAGAGTCAATCTACAAAAGAGAAAATATTTCCTTTTCATCTCACCCAACTGGTGTATCCTTTGCAGGTCCCATGGTGAAGACTGTTACCATTACTAATTTCCAGTTCTGTTACTTCAGAGTTGTGGGATTGGCTCTTTTTGTTGTTTGGGTGCAGGTGTAACATGCCAACAGAAGTAAGCTTGCTTTTCGATCCTTCTACCTTTGCATGGCATCAAAGAAGAGGGAGGTTAATGTGGAGATGTGCAAGAGCAGCATTGATCTGGACAGTTTGGGAAGAAAGTAATGCCAGAGTGTTTCAAGAAGAGAGAAATCTACAAGAGCTTGAGGGTTGTATCTTGAATAGGGCTGTCCAGTGGTTGAAATCTCTTAAGAGCTATTCCACCTTTTCTTCTTTAGTGATCTTTGGAGGAATTGCACTTCAGTCACAAGCTGTACCTCCCTAAAGCTTAGAGTAAGTGTAAGCTGGGTACCCCCCCCCCCTTCCTACAGGTGTCTTGAAGCCGAATTTTGACGAAGTAGTCAAGGTAATCCAGGTCCTTCTGGGTTGGGAGGGGTTCTCAGGAACATGGCTGGAAAATGTGATATTATACTTGGGTCCCTTGGGAGTTGGGGATTCCACTAGGGCAGAGTTGTTGGCTGCAATTCAAGGTGTACAGTTTGCAAACCAGATGGGTCTGGCAAAGTTGTTAATTGAGGGAGACTCCAAGGAGGTAGTGGGTTGGCTACAGAATCCAGAATCTGTAGTGTGGTGTTATAAGTACGTTAAAGAGGTTGAAACGGCTAACAGGGGTTTTGCTTGTAAGAATTCAATGGGTTGGGAGATCAGCCAATGCTTTGGCAAATTATTTACCAAGGGTCTGTCCATTCAATGTCTACTTTAGGCGGTTCTACTTTAGCATTTCAGTAGGTTGTTTAAGGTTTCCTAACCCGAGCTACTATTGCATTTGTCAATTGCCTCAAACAAAGCTAAGATGTTGTTTATGATYCACAAAGGAGACTCCTAAGTATTTTCTAACGTCTAAAATGTTGTTATGAACCCACTCCGAAATGCTTCTTGCCTTTGCCTAATTCTTCCTCTCCTAGGCTTCAACCTCATTAGCCCACAACAAGGGGGTTGCTGATGATGTAATTGTCTTTGTTCACCAAAATGACCTGAATCACCATTTCATCTTCTATGGGGCCTTCCACCACCCCAAGAGGCAATACAGAGATGGCTTCTTCGACCCTCTATAACTCTAGACTCTCCCTAAGTGAACTACCCACCTTCCTTTGCCTAGGTGTAACATACCCAAGTCTCCAATCTATCTCTATGCTGTAAAGTGTAATTGATAATTTGCCTGACCTAAAGTTGAGCTGGTTGGAGAATGACAAAGGTCTTGCCAAGATTAGGGATCCCATAAGATGGAGTCTGAGTTGGATCTACCCTCCCCAAATTTGATCGCTTTCCACCTCCCTTTGGTCATTTGCACTCCCTTAGACAAAGCCATTGATGAATTACCTTTGATGATCTTCAATCCTCAATGATGCAAGAATATACCCTACTCAAGTTTGGGCCGAATGGATATTCTTTTGATCCGCTTCGGTTTTCAGTTGAACTTGGCTCATCCATCAATCTACATCCCCACCTAGACTTGTCGATAGTGGTTGTTACATTTTTCCAAGAATGACTACAATAAGTCCTTCCTTACTATTCTTAGGGGTATAAGACAGGGTGACCCCCTATCCCCCTTTCTGTTCTTGTTGCTGATGTGCTGGGGAGATTGATTCACAGAGCAGACTCTAGGGGCCTCATTAGAGGATGGAGGGTTGGTAGGGAGGACATCCCACTTAATCACTTGCAGTTTACTGATGATACGATCTTGTTCTGTGAAGGAGGTAATGTGAGGTTCATAAGGAATTTGAAGTTAGTGATTCAACTTTTTGAGCAAATGTCAAACTTGAAAGTGAATTTTGGGAAAAGTTGTGTAGTGGGTATGAATATGGAGGAGGGAGAGATTAGGGAGAGTGCAGAAGTGCTTGGGTGTGAAGTTTTAGCTTGACTGTTGAGTTACTTAGGCTTGCCACTAGGTGATAATCCCAAGAGTGAGAGTTTTTGGAACCTGGTGGTGGAGAGGTTTTAAAAAAAGACTTGTTTCTTGGAAAAAGAATTACCTCTCCTTAGGTGAGAGGACTACCCTAATCAAGGCCACGCTTGCAAACTTACCTATTTATTTCCTTTCAGTGTTCAAAATTCCAGTGAAGGTTTCCAGTAGGTTGGAGAGATTAATGAGAGATTTCCTTTGGGAGCCGAGAGAGGAGAAGAGGGACCATAGAGTGAGCTGGAAGGTGGTGACCAGGAGTAGAGCTTGTGGAGGTTTGGGGCTGGGGAACATTGGGAAGAGGAACTCTGCCCTTTTGGGAAAGTGGTTGTGGAGGTTTCCTTTGGAGCAGGAAAAGCTATGGGCTAGAATAGTGGCAAGCATACATGGGATGGAGCAGAATGGATGGGATGCTAGAACCAGAGCAAGGACCACAAGTAATTCACCCTGGAAAGTCATTCATGATTTGCTTCCAATCTTCTCCTCACTTGTCAGGTATGATTTGAATTCTGGTAATTGTATAAAATTTTGGGAACAAACTTGGGTGGGGAATGTTCCACTTAAGGACCAGTTTCCCTCTTTGTATGCTCTCTCTGACTTTAAGAATAAGCCAATTTCTTTCTTCATCACCCCTTCCTCCTCCAGTCCTAGGTTTGGATGGAACCTAGGTCTAAGGAGGGTTGTGAGGGACTCTGACATCCACAATATTTTGAGCCTCCTTGACCTTCTTGATAATGTTTTCATTGACCCCTCTAAAGTGGACTCCACGACTTGGACCCCGACCCCCACAGGCTCCTTTTCTTGTGCTTCCTTCTTCAAAATCTTATGTCAGTCCACCAGTTCTGCAACCTCCCATTTCCTGGTTTCTGAGGTTTGGTGCAAACCAATTCTGCCTAGGGTTGGTAGTTTTTGTTGGAATGCCTATCTGGAAAGATTCAATACTGGTGACTTGCTTCAAAAGAAGAGACCCAACACATGCTTGTCACCTCATTGGTGTGTTCTCTACAAAGCGGATGGGGAGACTGGTTTTCACTTACTAGTGTCGTGCCAATTTGCAAGGTCAATTTGGGAATGGGCTTTTTCTCTTTTTGGGCGCAAGTGGAACCCTCCATTAGACTTGTAGAGCCTTTTTTCCCCTTCTTTTTTCAGGTGGCGCATGAAAAGGGGAAGGACTATGTGGAGAGGACTGAGGGCTGCAATATACTGGTCCTTATGGGAAAAAAGAAACCTCAGAATCTTCTCGGAAGAAGAGAGAGGGGCTGAAGAATTAAGGGCAGTGATCCATATCAAGGCTGTACAGTGGCTGAAATATTTAGAGCTATTCACAGACTACACAGTGGATGACATGTTGAGGAAGTGGGGAGAGATTGCAAATTGCATGAAGCCTAAACCAGTTGTGAAGGTATCTTGGACCCCCCCACCGGCTGGATTCCTAAAATTGAACTTTGATGGGAGCTGTAGGGGGGATCCTGRACAATCAGGGATTGGGGGTGTTTTCAGGGATGAGAATGGGGTCATTTCAGCCATGTTCTCAGGTCCAATTGGAGTGGGGGATTCTCTTAGAGCTGAGATCCTAGCAGTTATGGAAGGAGTTCAGGAAGCTAAGGAAATGGATGTCAGAAAACTCATAATTGAAGGGGACTCGGAGGTGGTGATAGGGTAGCTGAGGAAAGACAATTGTGGATTATGGAAATACAACAATGAGAGGAGAAAATTGAAGTGGCTGGTGCGGGATATGGAAATCAGGATGAGTTGGGTCAAAAGAACAGCTAACTCTATAGCTGATGAGCTATAGAGTGTTTGTCTTCTTTCTTTGAGGACTAAAGTTGTTCAGGAAGATAAGAGTGTTTGTCTTCCTTGCTGTAACTATTCTTGTATTCTTGTGCTATTTTAATAAAATTTCTGAAATTGTTATTGATAAAAAAAAAAGTCCTTCCTTACGAATTACTTTAGGCTGTGTTTGGTTTGATGGAAAAGGTAGGGAAAGGAAGGGAAACATAGGGAAACGGATACAAGGCTTGTAAAAGTTTTCCCTACATTTCCCTTCCTTTCTCTACTTTTTCCTTCAAACCAAACACAGCCTTAGGGAATTTTGAGAAAGACCAGAAATGAGGCTTTGAATTTCAAACTTTGTTTCTTTGTGATGTTGATCAGCAGTCCTGGCAAGTCTACCACCTAGACAGTCAAGATTACCTCTCAATAGAGCTGCACTCACCAATTTCTCCCGGCCCAAATTTAATGACTCATTCGAGTCAAAGTCTTCCTCCTCCACAACCACCAGGCCCTTCCCCAAGTGACACAAATTGTTCGTAATGCCACTCAATTTCAACCCCATATCTGATTGCTTGGTTTTTTCCTAGTTAATCCCCCCTTTTAGACTTGTGAGATTTGCTACTACCTTCCCATTCAGGTTGAGGGCCTTTATTATGGTTTTTCTTAATATCCAGCCAATGCAATGGGTTTTAAGGAGAGAGTTTCAAGCACAGACCATCAACTCATCCATCCATGTCCCTTATGATTCTAGCCACCACCTAAGAGCTAATCATTTCCTTTTCATCAAGATTGTCTAGGATGAGAAAGAGATCGGGAAGAAACTCCAGCCATATTGTCATTGCATGCATGATTCCCCCTCCATAACAACGTTAGTCAACGCAAGGAGTGACCTTTTCCAGCTCACTCCCATTCTAATCCACTCACAATTTTCTTTGACCATGTTGGAATTTTTTGCTCAGATGAAGCCTCAACATAAGTTTCCAATAGTTTTGAGGATTTTTCCACTCTAGAAATGTATTGGGAGGCCAAAGGCTCTAAACCAGCAGGTGTTCACGTTCCATTATTCCATCACCCTTTTGACTCCTGGGTACCTCTATTCCAACCAGAGTTTACCTTCATTGACCATCAAACCTTGAGGCCAACCCTTAAACACCCTATCCACCTCTTTCTCTAATGGCAATAGGATTAATAACATTCCCTATGGAAGCTTGAGGAATTCCAGGCATAGAAGTAAACCCCATTTTTTCTTCAAGATGGAGCTCAAGCTTGATTATGGGAGAGACGGGTCCCTTTGAACTTGCCCACTATGCATCTCCTCAAGTAGGTTATCCTGCCCCTGTTCTTTGAAGCCTTTGATAGTATGTAGAGATAAGGAAAAAGGACATAAATCCTTTGATAGTATACAGAGGCTCTGAAGCCTTCAAAGCCTCAAGTGGGTTATCCTACCCGTCTCCAATATATTCTAAGTAGATTGATACCAAATTGATGTACAAATGAAGACAGTTTTTCTCTGTACAATAATCATATAAGATTAGAAATAAGCAAAAAGGACATAAAAGGCTCACCAGATGCCATCACATGCTAGTACAATGAAATCATCATCATCGCAAAGCTCAACCTAATTGCAAAATGCAAATGGTCAAAACCAAATGGGAATGGTTTTATTTAACTGAAAGAGATGCATTCCAAATTAATTACAGGAAAATGGAGCAATTTCTTGCAGGAAAGAGATTTCATATTACACATTGGTCACCCTCACACCAATAAGAGGCCAATATGGCTAGGTGCACATGTCAATATGCATGGGGTCTTACAAATACACCAATAAATGGATTATAGCAATATCTCTTATATCAAAAAATTAATCATCTATTGCATTTTATGGTCAGAATAGAAGAAAGAAGAAAAGAAAGAAAAATGGAAGAAGGAAACGAAGAAAAGTTGGGTCAAAGCTACTCAGGACATGATCCATAAATTGGAGGATTAGAATCACTATTGACCTAGATGCATTTCAAATTATAACAGGAAAATGGGGTGATTCTTGGATGAAAAAGATTTCATAAGAAATAATCCCATGGAGAGATCCTTGCAAACAGTTAAATGACCACCAAGAGTGAAAGGCACATACAATGTTTATGTCAGGACTAGCAGTTACAATTTGCTTTTCAGCAGGGAGAAATTTGTTCTGTTTGAATTCCATATCTCCTGCACTCAATGCACAAGTAGGTTAGGTTCAAAAAGTGCAACCAACAAGGAATTCGTCCTGATAATAATTGATTTTATTTGGGAGCTATAAAATCCACGACGAAGACATAAAGTACCAATAGCTCTAGCTAAGTTTAAACTTCCATTAACTCGCCCTGCATGAATGAAGCCACCAGCTTTTAAAATCCTCTCTCTCTCAGCCTCAAGCTCAGGCTTGTGATCTCTTGATAAATTGTATGCCTGCATAAAAGAAGCCACATTTTTCTGTTTTTTTTTTTTTTTGATAAATGAACAAAAGAAGCCACATTACCCCACTACAAAGTATTAATAAACATATATATATAACACATACATATGTCTTGCATATATACATTTATCATTGGGATGAAACGGAGCCATTCTTAGAAGGGACATCCTTTGTTGATGATTAATACAAGAAAAAGTTATATTTTTTATGATTAATAAATATAGAAAAAAGTTTAAACTACAAGAATCAGTTATACTCTTGAAGCATTGTCTGAATTGTGAATAGGTGAATCACATCGCATCCCCAGTGCACCATGAACCAAAACTCATAAATCATTATCATAAAAGTCCACTTAAGAGGGACAAAAATACACTTTGAACCAAGGGAAATTAAGTATGGTTCAACAATATGATAAAATGCTAATAGAATGGACATCTTAGAATCATAGAATTTTTTATTTAACTCCCAATCCCATCAAAAAGGTGGTCCAGTGATTGAACAATCTTGAATAACTGTGGGTTACGTGTGTTGCATCCAGGGCATAAAAGTTTCCCTTTATAGAATTTCCAAATGTAACATATGGAAAGACCATCATGTAATGTGTATGCTGCATCCAGGGCATAAAATTCCACTTAAGAGAGACATAAATACACTTTGAACCAAGGGAAGTGAAGCATGGCTCAACAATATGATAAAATACTAATAGAATGGACAGCTTAGAATCATAGAGTTTCTTTACTGACTCAATCCCAACCAAAAGCTGGGCCAGTAATTGAACAACCTGGAATAACTGACGTGGGTTATGTGTATGTTGCATCATGGGTATAAAAGTTTCTTGTATAGAAAGACCATCATGTTAAAGGAGAAAATATACCTGACCCTTCCTAGATATTACACAGCGAGAATCACCGGCATTTGCAACAAGAAGTTGATTATTCCGAATAACAGCAACACATGCAGTGCTTCCAGAAGTTGGTCCAGAGAAATCAGAGTGGGGCCCCTAATTGCAATGTTCACAGTAGATGAGCATCTTAATAGCATAATGCTGAAAGTGCTAAAARGAAGACTTACAAACATTAAACATAATAAAGTACCCTATTTGAAAGGTATGTGCTACTTTACATGAGAAGAGAATCTATATTGCATGGATACTAGTAAGAATGTAAAAAATCTGACATAGTTACATGGTTCAGAGTTCAAACTCGAACTCGGCAAGCCAGAAAAAACAAGTTACAAGGACTCGACTACTATACTTTAGTTTCTAGTTACATTTTTGATAATATATTTTTCTATGTTATATGAATAATGGGATAATTATTAAATAAGGAAAATTACATTTAGATGCATAAATCAATGCAAACAACATAAGCAAAATACCAAGTATTACAAATTTACCATGCATGTCCAAAAGTTACCACAAGAGTCTGAGATTATTTAGCCACAACATATAAGTGTGACAAAGAGTCACTTCAAGTGTATTGGTGTCAGTCACAGTGCCCTCACATGTCACACAGGTTTGGTATCCATATGTTGTAGTGTCTGTGTATAAAATTGGCTTGAGTAGAGAATGTTCTTTTTTTTCATTAGCAAAAAAACTTTCATTAATAACAGAGAAATTAAGTTACAATAGATAAAGATTGCAGAGGGACAAACTGCAATCTCCAGCAATTAGTTACAATTCTGCCCAGTACAATGAAGATCTATTTGCCCCTTGTTTTGCTAGGTATCCGCCATCCCATTTGCATCCCATTTGACCCAACTGTAGAGAAGATGGGCCGAATGGCCCATAGGTTGTTTATCATTTTTTATCTTTTATGTTCTTTGCTGTAATGGGCCTTAATCTGGACTTATTCTTACGTTATGTCTTTTTAATTTTATGCCCAACTAGGGGCTTCTCTGTAAATTACCAAAGTTTAACTTAATAAAGTAGAATTAAGGGTGTAAGAGAAGAGATTGTGTTCGAAAATCTCTCTCTGAACCCAAGTTGCCACCACCTTCTTCTTTTTCTTCTCTCCTCTTGAACTCTGATTTCTGCTACTTTCTTCTGAACTTTGCATCYTTCTAAACAGTCCTTTCTTCTCAAAAGGCTGTTTTTCTTCTCCAACCAAACTAATAGTTGAACTTCCTTGCAAGTGTGTCAATTTCTCTGAAGATAAACTTGAGCTTCCAAGGTACTGATGTGATGTTTTTGGCCCAAGAGATGACCAATAGTGAGTCTCCTTCTATTTCTAAGTCTGTTGTTCCTATCTGCTCAGCCATCTTTAGACCTTGAAGTAGGGCTAGAGATTCAGCCTGTATTGAGTCACCAAAACCTATTGGTCCTGAGTAGAGTGCCACCACCACACCCAGATGATTTCTAAACACACTCCCTATGCCTGCCCTTCCTGGGTTGCCAAGAGAGCTCTCATCAAAGTTCAGTTTTAGTTTGTTCAGTGGTGGTGGCTTCCATTCCATACTTACAAGTACTTTGGGTACATCTGTTTGTGCTACTTCAGCCCAATTTCTTAGGATCTCATTCGTGGAGTAGTTTCTGAATATCTCCATGGTCTTCACCCAATGTGCAGTTCTGATTTTTATGGCTTCAACAACTTCCTCCTTTGTTTTGCTTTTTCCAGAAAAGATTCTTAGGTTTCTTTCCAGAAAAGATTCTTAGGCTCCATTTAAAAGTGGTATTACTGTTTTACTTCAGTAGAGAATGTTGTTCTTTAGGCTCCATTTTCTTACCTAAAAGGAGTAGAAAACCTTTTAGTCTGTAAAATTTCAGATATATGTTTGGCCCTTTTACAGCCAAAAACTATTTTCCCACCTCTTTTAAATAGAAGCAAATGCAGCCTTCTACCACATGAACCAAGTTTTGTTTCGGAACCTATATTAAACTCCAATGCGGAGAAGAAAGCAACAATAAATATGATTAATGAAGAATAGAAATTGGAAAGAGGTGGAGTGTGCAGGCATTTTAGGGTGTGTGGTATCCAATTGGCCATTGAAGTACTTGGGGGTTGCCTCTTGGGGATAATTCAACGAGACAAAATTTCCGGGATCTGATGGTAGAGAGATTTGAGAAGTGGCTAGCTTCATGGAAGAGAAATTATTTGTCTTTGGGGGGGAGAGCCACTTTGATAAAATCTACCCTTGCCAACCTTCCAGTATATTTTATGTCAATTTTTAAAATGTCAGGGAGGATTTCTAGAAGGCTGGAAAAATTAATGAGGGATTTTTTATGGGTCCCAAGTGAGGAAGAAAAGGATCATAGGGTTAGGTGGGATCTGGTGAGCAGAATTAAAGAGTGTGGAGGCCTAAGTTTAGGGAATATTCAGAAGAGGAATGTGGCATTGTTGGGYAAGTGGTTATGGAGGTTTCCCCTAGAGAAAGAGAAGTTGTGGGCAAAGATCGTGGTGAGTATTCATGGGCTTGCAAACAATGGATGGGATGCTAGAATCTCGGCTAGGACTAAAAGAGCTTCTCCAAGGAAAGCCATCCAAGCTTCTTTGCCTCTCTTCATCCCATGGACAAGGTATGATCTGCACTCCAATAATCTCATTAAATTTTGGGAAGAAGTCTGGATTGGGGATTCTCCCTTGAAGGATCAATTCCCTTCTCTGTTTGCCTTGTCCAATTTGAAAATTATGCTTATTTCCAGTTTCTTGGTACCCTAACAAGCTTCCTCGGGCTTTGGGTGGAACTTGAGTTTTAGAAGAGCAGTTAGGAAGTCAGAACTGAATAACACCTTGTCTCTTCTTAATATTTTTTTTGATGAATAATAGTAAATTTTATTAGATCAAAAACTGATTTAGAGTTGTGAATTCATACAACATCCCAGGGAGAGGCGCAAGCTGCAGCCCCTCCTTGAATCTTACAAGTAAAACTAGGAAAGAAAAACAGGAATCACAGCTGAGCCCAAAACAATTCTTCCCGATTTACCCCTTGCTTAGCTAAAACATCGGACAAAGTATTTGCTGATCTCCCCAACCACTATAAAGAGACCATCATATTCCTTGTCAACCAACTGAATTTCTCCATTTCATTCTTGTAGCACCATATAGCATCTTCAGGATTTTTCAACCAGCCCACCACCACTTTGGAATCTCCTTCAATTACTAGATGTTGTACACCCAGCTGGTTTGCAAGTTGCACCCCTTGTATAGCAGCTAATAGCTCTGCCCGGATGGAGTCCCCAACTCCTAGGGGACCTGAGTAGAGCAACGGAATCTCTCCCTTCTCATTTCTCAAAACACCCCCCATTCCGGATAAGCCTGGATTACCCATGCTACTTCCATCAAAGTTCAGCTTCAGTGAGCCTTCAGATGGTGGAGACCAGCTTGTAATTGACTTATCCTTTAAGGGTGAACACCTTGATGGAGGAGACCAGCTTGTAATTGTCTCTTCTTAATATCCTTTAAGGATTTTTTTTAGATCCCTCTAAATCAGATAAAAGAGTCTAGACTTTATCAGCCTATGGGATTTTTTCTTGTGCCTCTTACTTCAAAGCTATAGTTCATCCATCGGGTCAGTTAGGGCAGCCTTTTCCGGTAAAGGAAGTCTAGTGCAAACTGATTCCTCCGAGGGTTGGGAGTTTCTATTGGGAAGCAATCCTGGAAAGAGCCAACACTTGTGATCTTCTTCAGAGAAAAAGGCCTAAGAGTTGTTTATCTCCTCACTGGTGTGTTCATTGCAAAGCTGAAGGTGAAACTGGTTACCATTTACCGATTTCCTATCTGTTACTAATCACATTTGGGAGTGGTGTTTATCTTTGTTTGGATGCATATGGTCACCTCCACCAGATGCATAGAGCCTATTTGCTCCATCCATGTTGGACTATTTGGGCTGCTGCTTGTTGGACTATTTGGGAAGAAAGAAACAGAAGAATTTTCTCAGATAGGGAAAGAAGTCTGCCAGAAATTCTGGAGTTGATTCAAATTAGGGTGGTGCATTGACTGAAGTCTTTGGTTCTGTTTAAAGACTTTTCAGTGGATGATTTGTTCAGAAATTGGAAGGAAATTGCAAGATCAGTTCCAGTTAAAGACACATCCCTACCTTCTTCGACTCCTCCTAGTGGTTTTATCAAACTTAATTTCGGTGGAAGTAGCATGAGTAATCCGGGTCCATCAGGTATTGGGGGTGTCTTTAAGAAATGAAGAAGGAGTGATAATTGCTCTCTTTTTGGGGCCAATTGGAATGGGTGATTCTCTTAGAGCTGAGATAGCTGTTATTGAAGGAACTCAGAGCGCAATTGAACTGAACATCACCAAACTGGTCATAGAGGGTGATTCTAAACTGGTAATGGATTGGCTGAAAAGTGATACTGCTAATTTTTGGAACTACAGCAATGAGAAGAGGAAATTCAATTGGTTAACCAAGAATATTGAGGTGAAGATGAGTTGGGTTAAAAGAAGTGCTAAACTCCTTTGCTGATGGGTTAGCTAAACAAGGGGCAACTAGGGACTCTTTATTCTGGGCTATCTTGTAATTTTTTCCCATCTTGTTGTTTTGGATAGGTGAGATAAGAGTGTTTATCTCCCTTTTCTTGTACCATTGTATCTTTTCTCTCTAATTTTAATGAAATATGTCAGTTATTGATTAAAAAAAAAGATATTGGAGAATACCTCTTCAAAGGCCCAATTGTCAACATGGTCATTAGCGTCACCACTCCTAGGAGACCATATCAACCCTTCTATCATCCCAGTAAATTTGTTTATTTTATCTCCCAATATGGCCAACTCTCTCCACCCCCTTTGTCCACGCATCATCTCATCCATCCTGCATCAATACAAATACTGCTATAACTTTTTGTTATCAGTAATGAATATTTCATTGAGAGAAAGCCAATCAGCTCCAAAAAAAAAAAAAAAAACAGAAGGCCAAAACTGGTACAATATAGAACATCAGAACACCTAACCAGGTGTCTCACAACCAAGAAAAGAAATACAAGAAAAAACAACTTTACAAAGAGCAGCTTAACAAGAAAAGGCAACTTTACAAGAAACAGTGCTATAACTTGAACAAGAAAATGCAGCTACATAAGCAAATATCTGCACTCACTGGAGTATTTAATTCACGTGTCCCCTCTTTACAACTAGAAATGCACTCAGAGTTGGTACATTTCTGCCTGGTTCAATACTTGTAAGGTGATGGGTATTAAATTCGCATGCATCTCCTTTTGATAACTTATATATGATCTAAACTTACAACTTCTGCCTGGTTTAAAACTCTCTGATATGACTTACAAGTTGGGAAAGAAAAGATATCCCCTCCTAGATGGTAAAAATAGACCATTTCAACTAATTAAAACTAAAAATTTCAAATACAATGAATCAAGATACCTAAAAAATGCTTTCTGAACAGAAGTGCTTATATCTCCAGATGCATATGCTTCATGCTTCAACACTTGTTGGTGAAGGTACTTTGCACAGAACTTAGCAACCACTTTACCTGACAATAACAGAAAACAAATCAATCATGGCACACCCTGGTGTTAGACATTTCTACCTTTTTTTTCTCAGCAGTCAGATATTATTACTTCACATAATAAAATTTGTACCAACTTGCATAGTTGTCAAGGCATCACCTAAGTGACTAGGCAGCCTTGGCTGAATGCCCTACCTAAATGCCTTGACTTGTAGAAACAGCACACTTGCCTAGGCAACAAAAATGACAAGGCAGGCACCATATTATAATATCATTCATATTGTTTTTTCTTACCAACATTTGTGTTAAAACATTCTATTATTTGCTAAATATACCATTTATACTTTGTTTTGAATTTTTACTATTAAAATTTAAAAGTTCAAAGTGTTTTGAGAAGAGAACAAGAAAGAAAGAATAGAAATAAAGGTTTCTCTCTCTCTCTCTCTCTCTCTCTCTGAATTTAAATAAAACAGTAAAACCATCATTGTTTTCTTTTGATTCTCTTTTACTTTCTATCACAAATTTTTATCATATAAAATTATAGCCTTCTTTAACAGATAATTTATATGAAATTACTCTACTAAATACTTATTATGTTAGTAATTATTTTAGAAAATATTGAAATTTATATATTTAAAATATTTTTATCTTTTAGATATGATGATTTGCCACATTTTGAAAGGGAAATATAATGTTCTTAATAAAGAGGATCGTTATTTTTTCAGTTAACGTGCATGCTGAATGGTACATAAAACCAGGGAACTAGCCAAAAGTTAGTTCCTTATTTTATATAACTAGTCAAGACCATGTGATGCACAGGCTTTGTTAAGTGAAATTGAAGTGGAAGGAGCCTATGAAATTAAAGTAGAAGCATAGATGAGCATGGGTCACGCTAATCCCAAGCCACCCAACAAATGGGTGTCTGAATTGGTACTGCCACTAGCTCGTTCTAGCAAAGACTTGGGATCAAATCCCACTACCACCAAGGGTTTTGGGGTTATGAGTATGGGTCATAGGTTACCTCCCCATTTTGTAGGCCAGTGAACCCAATAAAAAATAAAAATAAAAGATCCCAGGCCGGATTTTGATAGCATATTAACAGCCTTTAAGGCTGCAAGTGCCTAACCCAAYCCACACCCTTGAGCTTGATAATATTTGTTTGAGCTTAGAACAGGGACATGTCTACTTTTGTTAATTATAAAACTATGTTTTTTTTACAAATTAATGTTGTTATATTAATTCTAGTCAATTATAGAAATTATATATGTATATGTATATATATACAATTTTTTATCTAAATATTATATATAAAATTTACCATATATGTACATAACTTCCAGGTTGAGCTTGGGGGTCACTTAGCCTGGGCTCAACAACATCATGTGTGGGCTTGATGCAGATCCAAGCTAGGCTAGCCTAAAAGAAAATAGTTGCTTGACTAGGTCATAAATGATCATCCCTAAGTAGGAACCTTATGACATTTCCAATTGTTTTTATTACTTTTAATAGTTTTTTTAATTTTTATATTAATATTAGTTATTTTAAATGGAATTAAAATGTATTTGAATATTTAATTTATGAACTACTACTTTTTATTAATTTCTTAATTTTTAATAATTGTTTAATAAAAACTTGCTAAAGTTTAACATTTTTTATTTATTTTAGTTAATGGATTTTAAATTTTTTTTATCATCAAAGGAGAATTTTATTTGAAATTAAAGTTAAAAAATTTTACAACTTTGTGTATGGGACTAGAAGTCCCACACTATTACATATTTCTGTCCCTTTTTGCATTGCAACCCAAAACAATTGTTGCCTCAAAGCCCCTTGTTTAGCAAGATAATCAGCTAGCCCATTTGCACTCCTTCTAACCCATTTGAATTCTGCCTCTACCTCCATTGCAACCTTTTCCACTTCCCTTATCACTTGTTTAAAAGTCCATGGAGTAGTTCTATTGTTTTTAGCCCAAGAGATGATCAACTTGGAATCCCCTTCAACCTCAATATGCCTCATTCCTAGTTGCTTGGCTATCTTCAATCCTTGTAGCAATGTCATTAGCTCAGCTTTTAGAGAGTTGGCCATGCCGATAGGTCCAGAGAATAATGCTAATATTCTCCTTCCAGAATTTCTGATTACTCCCCCGATACCTGACAATCCCGGATTTTCAAATGAGCTTCCATCAAAATTCAGTTTACTTTTGTTACCATTTGGAGGTTTCCATTCCATCCTTACTCTCTCTTTAACTCTTGAAGATTGTGCTACTTCTGTCTAGGATCTTATAATGTCTGTGACTGATAAATCTTGAAAAATATGCAAAGATCTTACCCAATGAGCTACTTTAGCTTTGATTGTGTCAATTACCTCCTCCATTGTTCTACTCTTATCCAAGAATATTCTGCTATTCCTTTCTTCCCATATCACCCAACAAATAGTTGCCTTTGTAGCTTTCCACATAACCTTCCCTCTTTTCTTTGATTGCCTCAAAAGGTCTCGATTGAAAAGTCCTGCCACATCTTGAGGGGAAACCCACCTGCAACCAAAGAGAAGACAAAAAGATTCCCAAATATGATGCACAAAGGAACAAGATAATAATAGATGTGTCAAGGTCTCACCACTTTCCTTACAAAGGGAGCACATGTGAGGAGAAAGGCAAGTAGCAAAAGGCCCTCTTTTCTGCAGTATATCACACATGTTAACCTTGCCAAGGAAAATTTCCCAACATAAGGCTTAAATTTTGGGGGGATAGGCTTACTCCAAATTTCTTTTGCAGGGAAGTCCCCAACCGGGTTGCTAGGTGTGGCAAGAACATTAAAGAAAGAGGAACAAGAGAAGAGGCCATCTGAGGAGCCTTTCCAAATTCTAGAATCTTCCAAGGACAGGTCCAAATGAACTTGTCCTATTAGATCCAGAAATTGAATTAAAGAGGCACATTCATTTTCCCTAAGGCGCTTCCTGAAACCCAGATTCCATTGACCCCACTTGGACCAAGATTACCCAAAACGCTTATTGTTTCCCCTTTGAAGTTTGGCAAAATGTMTAGGTCAGGGAAGAGGTCCTTGAGTGGACTATCTCCCACCCGAAGGTCTTCCCAGAAACAGACTTTATTACCCTGGTCCACATCAAACCGAATGGAATTAAGGAATGATGGGTAAATTTCATAAATTGCTTTCCAAGGAGAAGATGAGGAAACCTGAGGGGTAACTTTTGCATCCCAAGCATTTCCATCCAAACCATGAATACTCACAATGACTTTGTGCCACAACCTATCTCTCTCAAATGGGAATCTCCACAACCATTTTCCTAACAGAGCTGAGTTCCTAAGTGAAATATTTCCTATTCCCAAACCCCCTTTATCCTTGGGCTTTCTAACTTGATCCCAATTAATCAAGTGATCATTCCTCTCCTCACCTGGGTCCCAAAGGAAATCTCTCGTGTATTTTTCTAACCTCCTTGCTACTCTACAGGGTATTCTAAAGGTTGAGAGGAAGTAAATAGGGAGGTTTGCCAACATGGCTCTAATCAATGTTATCCTTTCACCAAGAGAGATGCAATTCCTCCTCCATAGAGCTAGCTTCCTAGCAAATCTTTCAATGACTGGCTTCCAAAAAGCTTCTAACCTAGGGTTACCACCTAAAGGTAACCCCAAGTAGCTAATTGGCCAACTTCTAATCTCACACCCCAAAATCTTTACAAATCTATTAAGTTCCCCTTCCTCCAGATTGATCCCTACAATGCCTGTTTTGGTCCAGTTTATCCTTAAACCTGTCATCCCCGCAAAGTTATCCAATAGCAACTTTAGATTAACCACACCTCCCTCACAAAAGAAGATTGTGTCATCTGCAAATTGAAGGTGGGTAACAACCTCTTGATTTCTACCTATCCTCCACCCTCTAAACAAACCTTAGAAGTCGGCTTTCGCCACCATTCTTCTTAACACCTCAGCCACTAAAGTAAAGAGAAAAGGGGATAAGGGATCTCCTTGCCTAATACATCTCTCAGCCGAAAAGAAATCCTTCGCTACTCCATTAATAAGAATTGAATAATGGGCAGAACTTAGACATCCTCTAATCCAAGATCTCCACTTGGTTCCAAAGCCCAACCTTTTTCTAGCATTTGAAGTAGAACCCCCTATTTGCTAATATTGTTCATTCATTCATTGAAATAAAATATCTTCTTAAAAGGCAATGAAAGTTATTAAATCATTATTTTTATGTGAGAAATAAGAATTTCAGACCCTAACATAGACTTGTTCGGGCTTGCCTCGAGGGGCATGGTACAATGGCGACTCAAGAATGCAATATGTTTCATATCACATTAGCTACTTGAAGCAATGCAATTAAGGAAAAAAAGAGATTGTGGGTTTTACATGCTTGAAAATGCTTTATATGTTTGCTTTTATTTTTAAATTTTCATTTGAGTAC